AAAACAACCATATTCTACTAGTGCTTTGTAGACTTGGCTTTTCACTTGATTCCATACAAGTGTGTCTGGCTTTAAATCATCATGAGAAAAGTTTATTTTTGGAAGCTTGATATTTTTGGACCCCATTTTTTTTTAGGAAGAATAGATTTTTTGTTATATATTTATTATGCTTAATTATATGCATGCAATTGAATCTATTTATAAAGAATTTGAAATAAGTGAAGGTAAGTACTTTTCCCATGTGATAACAAAAATAACAAATCTTTAATGCAAATTGCTTATTAATTCAACGATAAGTAGGCCCTCCTAATTTATAGCATTGTTGCTAAACAAATTAAGCTTTCTTAGGTACGTAGGCAAAATCGAAAATTCAATATTTTTGAAATTTTGGTTTGAATTTTGTCGATTGTGGAAGAAAATATTTAGTGGTAAAGAAAATGAATCGTCAAAAATTAAAAGAAAGGATTTGGGTTGTTTTTATTGGAGTTTTTATTGGGGTTTATATGATTTATAGGGTTATTATCCCTCCCAATGTTGATTTTTTTTTGTTAGCTTTATTTGTATGCTTTTTTAATTTTTTCATTATCTGTTAATACTAAACGATTTTCATCTTAATGATTTTTTTATTGATTATCGTAACTATAAATTGGAATGACTCTTTATGATTCACAATAGATAAAGAAAATTTCAAATACTTTCCATACAAGTTGAAAATAATAGTGAGAGGGTGTTTTTATATTATTAAAGATTTACCAGTTAAGCAAAAGTGATATTTTTTTGGATTGTGCTTATGGAGGTTTGAGTAAAAAAATTATAGCGAAAGCAAGTGATATATAATATGAAGAGATATAGGTGAAATCAAAATTTAAAATTTATGAATTTAGTATTTGAAATTTTTAGTACTAATTTTTGATATTTTTTCAGGTTGTGCTTTTGAAGATCCATTTTATTTTTTTTCGTGTAGGGGTTAAAGCAAGGGTATATATATCATGATATTGAGATATTAAGGCAAAACTATTATTTAAATTTTACATATTTAACATTTAGTGATTTAGCACTAATTTATCATATTTTCAAGTTATGAGTTCGCTTTCATTATTTATTATAATTTTAATGATTTTTTACACATTTTCAAATTATGAGTTCACTTTCATTATTTATTATTATTTTAATGAATTTTTACATACAAATTTATGTATACCATAAATATACTAAACTAGAAGAAGACAATAATGAATTCGTTCCTGGATGGTGCTGAACAAAAATGAGTATGTGGTCATCATGAGTTGTCGTCTAGTGTTAGAGGAGGTATGATAAATTAGAGTCCGGAGCTAAAAGGGTTAAAAAAAATTGTCAAAAATTTCAAAAGGGCAACAAAATTGATTTTAGAATCAAAAGAACAATATTGCAACGCCCAAATTAATGACGTCCAAATCAGGTTAAAATTAGCAAGGCGTGCACTCCCATGCGTCTTACAAAGCGCAGCCGTCTTGCGTCTTACAAGGTGCTGACAACTTGTGCCTTGTAAGATGCATGAGAATGCGCGACTTCCCCTTAAATTTTTTTAAAAAAATTATTTCATTCGATTGCACATTTTTATGGTATTTTTCTTGTAAAAAAATTATTCTCTTACCATGTTGTATTGAGGGTTGTTATATATTAAATTTGGGATGTTATATTAACATTATAAAATCATTTTACTACCCAACTCCACTTATTTTATTTTATTTTATTTAATCAAATCATATCATTTACTTTTTATTTACCCAAGCTTCACTTCATTTATTTTACGGAAAATGGTCAAAATTGCCCCTGAACTATGCGAAATAGACCACTTATACCCTCCATTACATTTTGGGATCAAAAATACCCCCGCAGTTATCCCAGGAGACCACAAATACCCTCAAGAGTTAACATCCCAAATTTTTAATGACGTGGCAAGCCACATGGGACTAATCCCTCCACCTAAGCATTGCCAACTAAGATTCACTACAAAAGAACTTGACTTTTAGTGGCGACAAAGTCGCCACAAAATCCCAAAAATATTGCCACTAAAGGTTATGAGTGATTTTTAGTGGCGACTAAGGCTCCAACAACCATTCGCTAGTAAAACCTATTTTTTCAACAAAAAAAAATATGATAATTAATTTTCGATTGCGACCTAATTTTCTAAAATAAATAACTTGCAATATCCATATTAAAAACATCCAATATTATTACAAAAAATAATCAAATTACTTCTCGATTCAAATCTCCTACTATATATATATATATATATATATATATATATATATATATATATATATATATATAATGCATCATTGTACATTTTATACATTTACATATGACAAAAATAAAACATATAGTGTCTTCAAACTCCTACTTAATCGATATCATATTTGGTTTTTTAAAAACAATGAAGAAAAAAACACAATTAGAATTTAATGTTAAAAACTTTTAGTGACGATTTTCTGGGCTTTTGTGACGACTGTTGTTGCCGCTAAAGGTCTAGTTCTTTTGTAGTGAATCCTAGTTGGCAACACTTAGGTGGAAGGATTAGTCCCACGTGGCTTGCCACGTCAACAAAATTTTGGGGTGTTAACTCTTGAGGGTATTTGTGGTCTCTTAGGATAACAGCAGGGTCATTTTTTATCCCAAAATGTAACGAAGGGTATAAATGGTCATTTTCATATAGTTAGGGGGCAATTTTGACTCTTTTCCGTTTATTTTATTGAATTCCTTCGTACTGTTACTTTTTTTACCACCCAGCTCCGCTTATTTTTTTTTATTTAATCACTTCATATTATTTCCTTTTTATTTACCCCAGCTCCACTGGATATATACATACAATTACTTTAACTTTGTAATTTTTAATTTTACCATACCTAAATGCACAAACTTTTACCCAGCTCCATTGATTGTTATTGTATGTTTATTGTTTCTCTAAACACATTTTTTGAATTTATGTATCTTTAAATAAGAAACATAATTGGCAACGAGGTATTTATAAATCTTCAATAGCACAATAAAATTTGTATATAATTATTGCTGTAAATAAGTATTAATACACATGGTTAAGCAATTTGTAATAAAAAGTTTCATGAATTCTACCATAAATAAAAGATTCGACTACTACATGAAATAATTCTTTTTTAAATTTAATCGGAATGAAAAAAAGTTTTTTATAAATAAAAAATAAACGGAAAGCGCACATTTCCATGCGCCATACAACTTACAAGGCACAAGCCGTCAGAGTCTTGTAAGACACATGGCGGTTGCGCCTTGCTGACATTGCTCTGATTTCGACGACATTACTTTGAACGTTAAAAAATTGCTTTTTGGTTCTAAAATCAATTTTATTGTCCTTTTGAAAGTTTTGACAAATTTTTTACCCTTTTGGCTACAGACTCTGATAAATAAAAACACAAAGAAGGGTCTCCTTATCATTATTATATCTCCACAAAATTCAACATTATTATTGTATCCTCAAAAAATCAACATATCATTGTTGTATTTTCAGAAAATTCAACATATATAATCTTGTAGCTTACTTCAAATTCTTCATTCTTTTTCTTTTTGTTATTTGCTGATCTACGAGTAATTTGCAGATTATTTGAACTTCAAGAAATGTTTTTAACTTTTAATTAACTGACGATAATTATATAAACTGTAATTTTTTTATTATTTTGTTGCCATCAATTAGTTTTGATTTATTCTTGAACAATCTTTTTTTTCATTTCTCCTCTTACATCTTATTGCAAGAATAAAGTCCCAAATATTATGATGAAATATGTGTACGTTAGTTTACTTACAAATAGAAAAAATATTTGTGTATTTTCTGTTAAACTGTAAATTTTTAACGTTTATATTTCTATTGTAAATATTGTAACTTCCTTAGGAAAACATTTTTTTAAAGTTATATAAGAACTAATTTGAATTATGTAAGAACTTGAAATAGGCAAAACCTCTAAGCATTTGTAACTAATAAATATTTATACAACTTTCTCAAAATTATAAAATATACTACCGCAGAAATTTAATGAAACTATTGAAAACCAATATTACTATATCATGATTATGTGTAGATTACTTTTCTTTTTAAGATATGATCTTTTTAATTAAACAACAAAAAAATGTCACTACACCAAAACACAAATAATAATGTTTAAAATTTAAGGGGATCTCTCTTTTATTTTTTTGGATGAACCTAACAACTAACTTTTAGGTGATAAAAGGTTAAACAAAATTAAATTAATTGGATTTGAAGACTACTAAATTATTTTAAAATATTTTAAATTTTTGGAAATTGTAAAAGATTAGTTTGTAAATCTAATGAGTTCTTTCTTAACTGCACGAAGCGCGACCAAGTCTACTAGTTCTATTATAAAATAAGAATCAAACAGACCATTTGTACGAGAACAAACTCATAAAGAGAATTTTGGTATGAGTCTAATCTTTTGAATATATATATATATATATATATATATGCCTTTTCTTTTTGAGAAAGAAATACTTATTCGAGGAAATTAAATACAAAAAATACACATTATGAGTGTTAAAACATATTGAAACTAAAACTTGTAATGTTGATTTAATTTATATATTTACTATTAGTATGTAATAGAAACTTTACATGAAATAGTAATAAGGTTGATATCAGTCAAACCCCGACAAATATTTTAACACACGTGAATTTAATTTGGTTTAAAAGAGTAATGATGTTGATATCTACCTATTAAAATTATAAAGAAAATTGTATTGTAGATTTATTTAATATTCAGATCCTTAAAAGTATTTTGAGAATAATGCATCAAAAAATATATTATAATCAACATTACAATATTTAGCAATAACGCAAAAGGCAGATAAATTAACTAGTATTGTTACATAGTGATTAGCGTCACTCAAACTAGTACATAAAACAGAAGCATATACTCACAAGTCACAAGGAGCATACATATTTATTCTACACTGCTAAACATAATGAAAGTAAATTGGATTCAGACACCACAATAGGTCTTCAAAGCAGATTCACATTGCATGCCTTCTTCAGTGTATCTAAAAGTAAGAAACTCAAGATGTTTATGTGGCTTAAAGAGTAAAGGATGGTCTTCATTTATCAGCTCTTTGGGTGTCGTTATCGTATATCCATCTTTAGGTGTTGAAAACAAACCAATTGAGTACCTTCTCTCATTTCCTCTAATCAACACTCTATGATAAGGTGCATGTATCCTACCATTTGTCCAGGCCTGCGTATAAAACAACCCTTCATATTCAAAAATTGAAAGATAAAAAACAAACTAATTAACGTTTAAACTTTTGTACACGGACAATATAAAAGATTTTTAATAATCTAAGTCATCTGAAAAAATAGTTATACATATTCGCTCATAAAAATGGGATAATTAAACTAAAAATAAGACATATTAGATGTCATAATTGGTTAAAATAAGTGGATATTATAATTTGTCCTTTTTTCTATTTAGTGGCAGAGCAAATTACACTGCATATATTGATAAAATTACTACATATTAAATTTTGAATACCCTTAATTAAAAAAATATAGTTTCTCAACAGTATATATCAGGTGGTCAATAATTTTGTTTTTATTTTATTTTATAAAGAAAATAAAAGTAAAGGTAAAGAGATCGTTCATAATGTTGGAATAACTTACATGTAGTGAATCTCCAATTATGATAGTAAAAGTGCCTGGTGTAGGATTAATATTTTTCCACTGTTTATCTTTGGTCAAAAGTTGAAGACCATTTACATGATTTTGGTATAGTATTGTAAGAATTTTCGTGTCTGTGTGAGCCCTTAGTCCCATTTCAGTCTCACTGTTTTGAGGTGTTTTATACTTGATCAATCGAAGCAAGTAGTTTGTTGAATTCATATGCTCATCCATGTACTTTTCCAGCCCTAAACTCTCCACAATCATCCTCCTTATTGTTTGGTCTAACTCTGATAATTGCTCTGAGTATGACTGAATAATTTTACTGCAAGCACATATTAAAATAAAATAAAAACAATAATAATAATAATATGCATGTATTAATGGAGAAGATTAATGTTTTTACCAAAAAGAAGGATTTCCTTGGGGCCATAAAATTTGAGTGAACTTTTCAGCTTTATGAGGGATGTTAGAATCATCAATGCCCGTGCTTTCAAAGAGTGGAATAGGATGGTATTGTCCCACATAGCCATGAAAGGGTTTGGTTGAAATGTTTTTAAGTTTGGCTTCTAAAGGGAGATCAAAAATCTCTTGTGAGAATTCAAAAATGAATTTTTTAAGGTGTATTGGAATTTTATTAAAGAAAGCTTCAAAACAACCATATACTACAAGTGCTTTGTGGACTTGACTTTTCACTTGATTCCATATAAGTGTGTCTGGCTTAAGATCTTCATGAGAAAAGTCTATTTTTGAAAGGTTGATGTTGTCAGAATTCATATTTCCTTGGAAGAAGAGATATTTGTTATATGTTTGTTTATGCTTAATTATATGCATGCAGTTGAACCTATTTATATAGAATTTGGAATAACACAATGTTGTGTTAAGGTAAATACTTTTCCCATGTGATAACGAAATAACAACTCTTTAATACAGGTTGTTTATTGATTCAAAGATAAGTAGGCATTCCTAATTTATAACATTGTTGCTAAACAAATTAAGCCTTCTTAGGTATAGCTACACATAGTTTGGGCATAATTGAAATACAATATTTTTGAATTTTTGGTTTGTATTTAATTAGACTACAAATTGAATTTTCACTTTTCAGATATATATCTAAAATTCTAGAAAAAAAAAGTATACCTTATACCAAATTCTAATGATTCTGCATAAGCCCATATACCTATATATACTAAGAGCCTGTTTGGATGGGCTTTTAAGCTGGTCAAGCTGGCTTAAAAACCAGTTTTTGACTTATTAGAGTGTTTGGCAATTATCAAAGTGACTTATTTTAAGTCAAAAATGACTTATTTTAAGCCAAAAGCTAAAAGTTAGGGGAGGGGAGCTTTTTTTTTTTAACTTAAAAGACCTTTTCTGCTGACCAAGTATATTACCTTTTTGCCCTTAATTCTCTTATACAATTTCCAAATTGCCCATATTGAATTATTATTATTATTATTTTATTATTATTATTATTATTTTATTTTTTTTAATTATTATATTTTTTTTATTTTATTATTATTATTATTTTATTATTATTATTATTATCATTATTATTATTATTATTTTATTATTATCATTATTATTATTATTATTTTATTATTATTATTATTATTTTATTATCATTATTATTATTATTATTTTATTATATTATTATTATTATTATTCCTCTTATAAATAATTTGTGGTGGTAAAGAAATATGTGAATGATAGGAAAATATTATTACTTATGGATGTAAAATATAAATTAATTTTGTTTTAATTTTTTTTAAATTATAAAAACCTTAAATTAATCAACTTTTCATCATGTTAACGACTTAAAGGGTATTTCAGACATTTTGATAAAAAAAGTGTTTACCAACACTTATTTGCCAAACACATCAACAACTTTTTTTTAACTGCAACACTTTTATTCAAACACATAACTACTTATTTTAAAAATAAGTTCCAGCACTTTGAAAAGTTACTTTTTAAAAGTCACTTTTTTTAAGTCAATCCAAACGGGCTCTAAGTCCAATACCATATTAAATCATTGAAAAACTACATAATTAGATATACTTTCTATGTATCTTACATTGAGATACATGTATTTTTGTTACCAGATACACAAAAATAAGAAGAGAGGTGACCGATATTGAAGCGTGAGGCTAGCGAGATTCGTATATATCCAAATACATGTGAATATATCCTACTGGATACATACTAGATACATGCATTTGTATGTATTTGGAGTGATTCACATGTATCCAGGATGAGAGAATGACAAGCGAGATGGGAGAGAGGCAAGCGAGATTTGCTATATATCTCAGATACATATGAATCCCCTTGTATACAATGTATCTAGAACAAATTATACCTAAATTTGACCTCATGTATCCAAGATACATGTATCTGGATATATCTGGAGGCACCAAAATCTTATAAGATATGTAATATTAAAAACTAGAGAATATCTAAATAATTAACTCCAAAACTAGTGAAATTTACGTAAGTTCCCTTAAATCACTATACAGCCTATTAGGCTAATGAATGCATCCGGCCGTATATTGTTGTTGCCATTTGAAGAATTGTGACATTGGGTCCTTAAGGAAGTATATTAATTAATATTTAAATTGAGTTTTTATCGATTGTTGGAATTGTGACATTTGTATGAGTCTAATCTTTTACAATCGAAAATTTAATCAAAAGATTAGACTCTTACAAATGTCAAGCTAACATTGCAATTCAATTATAAACTAAGGATTAAACAGCTCATTCGTATGAAAACAACAAACAACTCGGAAATATGATTATATTGGACCGAGGAAGATTTTACCGCAGTAAAATTTGAATGTCACTAAAGTGAGTGAAATATCATTTCATCAATCTGAAAGAAATTATTATCTTTTTCTATTTTTCAACGGTAATTGCAAGTATTTTCATAGGGAATTCTTAAAAGTTAACACTAAATTATTCATTTTACTTCTCACATTAAACATTAAAAACTAAATTAGAGCTTACAAAAATTAAATTCCTTAGATACATAAAAAAAATATATTAAATCATCATCTAGAACAATATTTTATTGTGTTCATTATACAAAAAAGCGACATAAGGGTCAACTACTCGGCTGGAAGCCTGGAATATAAAAAAAATTAAAATCAAATAAGTTCTATTTTGGGAAAAAAACTACTTATTCGAGGAAAATACAAAAATACATGATAGGAGTGTAAAAATATATCGAAACTAAAACTTGTAATGTTGATGTAATTTATATATTTACTATAAGTAATAAAGTTGATATCGATATTTCGCTATCATGCAAAGCGTGGACAAATTAATTAGTATTATTCATCATACCAGTACTGCAGTACATAAATACAAGTATATACTCACAAGGAGTATACATATTTATTGTATTAGTAAACTAATCAATTAAATTAAATTCAGACACCACAATAAGTCTTCAAAGCAAATTCACATTTCATGACTTCTTCAGTGTAGCTAAAAGTAATGAATTCAAAATGAGTAAAGGGCTTAAAAAGTAAAGGATGTTCTTTATCTACCAGCTCTTTTGGTGCCTTTACCATGTATTCTGCTTTAGGTATTGTAAACAAACCAACTGAGTACCTTGCTTCATTTCCTTTCATCATCACTCTATGAAATGGTGCATGGATTCGACCATTTGTCCATGCCTACATACAAAAACAATCCTTCATGTATTAAAAAAAATAAACCTAAGAATTTGAAAGATAGAAAGCTAAGTACATTTAAACTTTTATACACTGACAATATAAATAAAATCACAAGTCAAGTCATCTAAAACAATAGTTATAGATAATCGCTCATAATAAATGATATTAATTAGTAACCTAAAGAATATGACGTGTTAGCTATCATAACTAATTAAAATAAGTGCATATCATAATTTATTTATTTTATATTTAGTGGCGAAGCAATATAAAGTGTATATAGAGAATTATACTGCATATATATATATATATATATATATATATTGGTAAAAAATTATTATATATTATATGTTGAATATTCTTGATCAAATTTTTAGTTTTACAACAATTTTTATTTTAATGAATTGGAAGAGCTTACATGTAGTGAGTCTCCAATTAAGACAATAAATGTATCTGGTGTAGAATCAACATTGATCCACTGTCCATGTTTGGTCAAAACTTGAAGACCATTCACTTGATTTTGGTATAGTATGGTAATATTGCTCTTGTCTGTGTGAGAACTTAGTCCCATTTCATTCTCACTACTTTGAGGTGTTTTATACTTCATCAATCGAAGAAGATAGTTAGTCGAATTCATAAACTCTCCAAAATCATTTTCCTTACTGTTTGGTCTAACTCTGATAGTAGCTCTAAGTATGACTGAATAGTTTTACTACCAATACATATAAAAATAAAGAAAACTTTTCAACTTTGTGGTTTTAAATTTAAGTTATGTCAAATGTACAAAAAATCCCTTTAATCTAGTGGCCTGAAACATGCTACGTGAAAAATTGAAATTAAAATGTTACCAAAAAGAAAAGGGGTCATTCTTTTTTAAACAGACTAAAAATGACCTACAGAGTAAATGGAGAAGATTAATGTTTTACCAGAAAGAAGTATTTCCTTGAGGCCATAGAATTTGAGTGAATTTTTCAGCTTTATGTGGGATGTTAGCATCATCAATGCCCATGCTTTCATATAGTGGAATTGAAGGGTGGTAGAATCCAACATAGCCATTGAAGGCTTTGGTTCTAATGCTTTTAAGTTTGGTTTGTGAAGGGAGATCAAAAGCTCTTGTGAGGATTCAAAAAAGGATTTTCTAAGATGTATTGGAATTTTATCAAAGAAAGCTTCAAAACAACCATATTCTACTAGTGCTTTGTGGACTTGGCTTTTCACTTGGTTCCATACAAGTGTGTGTGGCTTTAGGTCGTCCTGAGAAAAGTCTATTTTTGGAAGTTTGATGTTTTTAGAATTCATATTTTCTTGAAAAATAGATTTTTGTTGTATGATTGTTATGCTTAATTCCATGCATGTAGCTAAACCTATTTAAAGAATTTGGAATAAGACAATGCTTAAATGTGGTGTATAAAGGTATCAAAACTTATTTGAATTTTAATTTCATAAATTGTAATTGAAATTTTTCATATTCAATTCCAACTGCTTCAACGCCCAACCCTATTCTTAGGTGGGCTTGTAAGGATATCAAAAGATTGAATAAGCTAAAGTAATATGTTTATTTAAAAATATTACTAAAATTAGATTTTTCTATTGATTGATTCTTTACTCTGATTTCAAATTATGTTTTAGTTATATAATCTCTTTTTATCTAATGATATATCTATACTGCCAACACTATTCAATTGTTGAAGAAGCCTATTGTTCACTTTTAAAGAATGAAATTAGAAAAGATAAAATTATTTGTGAAAGTAAACAAGTGAATAAAAGTGATTATTCATTCTTTATCCCTTTTACTCTTTTCTAATGAAAAGAAAAATTCTTGAAACTTCATATTACTAAATTTTGTTTGGTTGCTTCTAGTTCTATAAATTCTAGAATTTTTTGGCAAAAAAAATAAAACAATATTATGAATTTCATTTTATAAAAATGTCTAGATAAGTGATGAAACATGTAATTTATCAGCTCTCTAAGATATATTATGTTGAATAAAGTGGAATATATGTGTACTGACGTTAATGTTTTTTTTTTTTTTTGCAATTAATTATGCTTTAGCTTTCCTCAGAATTATTTCTAGTATTAAAAAAAAGTTAATTATCTCACAAAATCTCA